GTCATAAAACTTCTTATAATATTGTCTGGAGCAAAACAATATAGGAAAACTTTGTCTTTTTAACAGTGTGAAAGAGAACAAAACTCTAATTCTGTGTCAGCTTAAACCCTTTTTGAGATTTAAATTTACTCACTTAAATTTATTTTCATCTTAATTCAGCTTGACTACCCAATACTTTCTTTTTTCAAGATTTCTTTTCAAAAACCTCCTACAATTTTCCTTTTTACATTTCTATTTAGCTTGTTTGTCTCTTTTTCTCAAAAAAAAAAAAAAGGAATTTTTATACCTATACCTTTTATAATGAAAACACATTCTTTTCTTCCATATTATTGAAAGTTCTTAAGCCTTAGATAACTCTAAATGACATTTGTTCTAATGAAATTGTCAAGCTTAAACTTGCTTTTGTATACTAAAATTTACTCTTAGATCACATGATTCCAAAAAGCATTTAGGTCAATTTCTATACTTTTGAGAATTTTGTAATATCTAATCATTACAAGATCTTGTTAAGGCAATTAAATATAACTCTTTCATAAGTTAACAAAAACATTCTGAGATAAAAATACTATATATATATATGGTAGAGAGAGAGAGAGAGAGGAGAGATGAACATATAAACAGATGCAAACAGATATGTCACAGCCTCCATAATAAAAAAAAAATGAGATCTAGTCAAAGAATCTTTCCTCCTCAGTCCCCATTTTAAGAGACTTTAGACTGTCTAACGTCTTTTTTTCTCTTTTTTTCAGCTTTAGTTTTTCTCTAACTTTCAAATCCTGGCTTTACCTTTATCTGAGTATTGTTGGCCATCCAACTGCCAATAAGAGGGGCCAGTCCACTGCTGCAGCCATGCTTATTTCTTCCTTGCCACAGTGTGTAATGCATACTTCTTCAAACAAACACAAAGACCTACTGGTGTTTTGGGGCTGTACCTTCCACTTATGAGGTGGTCCACATTCATCTAGCATACAAACCATCCTTCTCCACATAAAGGTAAATAGCATGAGATTTCTCCTAGAGACAGCAGGCTTTCCCCAAGCAGGAACAATGGGTCCTCCTACCCCAACTCCATCCATTCTCTTTACCCGTGCCTGTTTTGTTTTTAGTATCCTGAATGGCTTGCCATCTGTCTGAAGGTGGGACAAAGATATAATGGACAGTATAATGAAAACATGTCTTCAGACTGAAAGTTAAAGCAGGCAGCTCTATAGATGTAACAGGATTTATTACAGGGTAATTTACTTCTGGGAAGATTGGTCTAGAGCAGACAGATGACCCAGCCATTTTGCACAAATTCTTCTTAACAAAAGAAAATTTAAGACAGTATATTTACATGTCTACATAAAGTTTATATAATTTTAGAAATAAGCTGCTTCTTTTCTTAACATTGTGTTCAGAGTATTTCCTCAGGTGGAAATGTTCTTCCCTTTCTTTGTCTAAATACTATCTGTCATTTTAAGACATCTTTCTAGCCACTTATTTACTGTTTATTGTTCTTCTTTTGAGCAACTTTGTATGTCTTAAAGCTAACTTGATTCTTTGCCATGTTTTTTCCTTCTCCTCATAAGTAAATGGTGGTGACTGGGTCACTTCGAATAAAAAACTCATTACCCCACCTACTAGGATCTCCCTTCAGCAATTGCCCCTGTTGAACTCTAACTCACCCATGGCCATGTTCCCATTCTAGAGTGGCCACATTCAAAAACCCCTTGTCTCATCTCAGGATATCTTGAAATGGTCATCCCATCTTCAGAATTTTAAATGTATGCAGAATCTGTAGTGATATCACCTCTTTCATCCCTCATATTGTTAATTTGTGTTTTCTTCATTTATTGATTAGTGTAGCTAGCAATTTATGGATATTGTTTATATTTCACAGATCTAATCTTTGATTTTGTAAACATTCCCTATTATTTGTTTTCTATTTTATTTATTTTTGTTTTTATCTTTATTATTTCTTTCCTCATACCTTCTTGGAATTTATTTGATTTATTTTTTTCTAGCTTCATAAAGTGGAAAATTCAATCATGATTTATACCTTTCTTCTTGTTTTAATACACATATTTAAAGATTAAATCACCTCCTAAATAACTCCAAATACTCAGGTATTTTTCCAGATATTTTCTGTTATTTATTTCTAATTTAATTTCATTATTGTTAGAGACATTATGTATAATTTCAATCTTTTAAAATTCACTGATATTTGTTTAATAGCTTGGCGTATGGTCTATCTTGAAGAATAAATCGCATAATCACCATACTGTTGTCTGTGTCCATGAGGGTTGTTTACTCTTTGCTTAATCCCTTTACCTTTTTCACCTAGCACCCCAATATTCTTCCCCTCTGACAAGTGTCAGTCTGTTCTCTGCATGTATGAGTCTGTTTCAATTTTGTTTGTTAGTTTATTTTGTTTACTAGATTCCACACATAGGTGAAATCATATGGTACTTGTTTTTCTCTGACTGGAATATCTTCATCACTTAATTTAGTTGTCCTGAGAAGCAGCCTTATGTCCTTGTGGTTGGCAAGATGGGTTCCAATGACGATGTGGGCTAGATGTTTCAATGTTAAGAGGTTAATGTGTTAAAAAAATTTCTCCTAAGTATAAAATGTAAGTTCTTTCATTCACTCTGATTAAGCAAACTTGTATCACTTGTTCATCCCTTGACCAATAATCACTCCTAGAGGAATTCTGTATGGTGACTGGTTTAGAGATCAGTATCATTTCTGATACTGAGAATAGGGAGGCTACCTGAACAAGAATGGGTTTTGTTACAAAGTAGTAAGGGAAATAAATATTGGGTAGATACATAGCAACATTATGCACTGTGGAGTATTTTTTAAACCATATTAACAATTTAGATCAAACTTTAGTAGATTTAAGTATAGTGATAGAAACACAAATTATAAGTTATCAAGCAAATGGTCAGAAGAACCTATTTTATGCTTTCTTATTTACAAAGTAAATATGTTTCTATTTCAGGTATGGTTCCAGAGGTAATTGATCTGGGATTTATTTTCATAAATGTTATCTAAAGTACATATATACAAAACCTCATAAGCTTTTTGTTAGTTTATTTAGTTGGTAAAATATTAAGTTTGGTGTAAGGCATTGCAATCTTAATCTCTTTCTTTGGAAATTTAAGAAGCCAATCGTCAATGTTTGATCAATGATTACTCAATGTAAACCTATTTTATTTCTTCATTTCCTCTGATGTAAGATACTGTTCAGAGAGTCCTTATGTTCAAGCATCTGAAACACGTTTAGTTTATATTATTTTTTTTGTGAAAAACCTATTCTGGGTATTCATAATTTAATAATAGGCCCCCTTGATAATATGCTCAGACATTAGATTCCAAAGTAATGGAATATATGGATGACAACCTATTTGTTGCATGGAAAGAAAATAATAGAACTTCTATTCATATTATTTATCTCATCTTTTTAAAGTTTTAAATCTTAGGACAGTTTTATAGTATGTGAAATATATCAATACCAAACAAGGTACATGCATATAATCTTTTTTTTTTTTTCTTGATAGACATATGTGATCAACAGTTTGAAGACTGAACTTGATTAGTCTGGTTTTGGAACACAGTTTATGTGACTCACCAATCCTGAGATTCATTGCTTCATGGAGAAAAGTATTTGGACTTCAAGCTTAACTAACACTAAAAAAAGTAAATGATAACAATGATAATGATAACCATGGAACTGTAACCAGAACCAAGGTTCTGCTGCATGTGCCATGAATATCAAACTTGATGAGACAGATGCTAGTGAAAAAGGAAAGAGATTTTACTCAAATGTTGGCATTTCAAGAAGATGGGGGGCTCTTGTCCAAAGGTCATCTTAACATCTCAAAACAGGCAGGGTTTATTATTATTATTTATTTTTTTAAAGTTATCTTTATTGTTGAGAATATCACAGATGTCCCCGTTTCCCTCATTAACCACCTCCATTCTGCTCCTGTCCCCCACTCAGGCCTTCAGCACACCACTGTCTGTGTCCATTGATTATGCATAAGTTCGTTAGTTAATCTTTCCCCTTGCCCCTCATTCCCTCTTCTCTCTGTCATTCGGGAAGGGAGAAGGAAGCCAGAATAAAGAGATCAGGAGGAGGGGCTGTGATCATGCAGGCAGTGTCCTTTCTTGTCCGGATAATGTCATTAATGTCAGCATGCTGGTACTGGTCAACACTGGCCAAATTCCTGTAGTCCAAATTCCTCTGTCAACTGGAGTCATGGTCAAGACCATTTCTGGTACAAGCAGGAACTGGAACTGTGATGCCTGCAATATACCTATAAAGAAACTCAGTATTTGAGTTCTTTTTATCAGTTTGTTAGCACTTTACTACTAAACTCCACCAGAACAGAGACCATTCCAGTATTTTCTTGTTCTTCTAATTAAAATAAAAATATTTATTGATTTTTTTTCTCACTGGAAATCGAACCTGCAACACTGTAATCAACTGAGGTACCTGGCCAGGGCCATTCCAATTTTTTCTTACACTGGTGTTCCCTAGAGTACAGTAGGCATTTAACAAATAAATGGTGAATAAAAGAAATTTTATTGTTGCCAAGTTTCTCAGCCAAAAGGAGCAAGATGAACTTCAGTGCCAGAGTGTGTGTGTGGGGGTAGGGTGGGGGGATGGGTCAGATGACCTGTGGTTTCGCGTCCTTGGGGGGTCATCCAAGCGCGAGAGCCCTGAAAAGAGCAACATGGGCCTTTAGTTTAAATTTCCTCAGCAAGCTCTGCTGTACTGCATATATGTTGTGGGCTACCCGGACCCAGAAAACAATAAGCGAAGATTTGAGGAGGCGAACCCCTTCCTGGCATGAGCTTTAGCACCTAGAAAGCTGAAGACTGGCCAACCGGGCGATCTAAATCCGGCGTCTAAGGCTGGGCCGCCGCTGGTCCACATTGAGCAAGCAATCCCGTGTCCTGACGCTCTAGCCTTGCGAGGAGGAAACACCGGAAGTCTCGACTGCTCTCCACAGGACGTGCCCGCCAGCCGGCTTTTCCTGCCTACGTCTCACACCTGGCAGGGGATCTCAAGTGTTCCCTGGTGTGGTATTTCTATCCTTGACAAGATAGATTATTCTGGGAGAAAGAATCTGGTCTCTTCTATGCCCAGAAAGGTTTGTTTCAGCAGTCGGGTGGCGCGTTTGCTGCGGGGTGGGCTGCTGTAAAGGGAGGCCTTTGAGAGGTCACCTTGGGGCGGCTCGACTCCTCTCTCAGCTGCACGCGGCTTGGCGGTAGGCTCCGGGCCTTGAGATGCTACCAGGGGTCTCCTCACCCTGGAGTTATGAAACCGTGTGTAGCTAATCTTGGCTTTGTCCTGTGGTCCCTACTAAGCGGTCTCAAGAGCACATTTGTGAAGAGTTGGGAGTCCTGTGAAGCGGTCTAACTGGGCACTTTGTTGGTGGTCGTAAGTTAGTACGCTGTGAGAAGGACCCTGCCCAGATGATTGTAGAATTTTCTGGCTCAGTGGTTATAATACTTTTCGCCCGGACCACTCTTGAGCTGTACACAGGGGCTGACTGTAGAAATGATTTTCAGTGTAGGTGATGATGCATGTGTAGGTGTATGCATGAGTGTCAGGCTTTGTGCGTGTGAGTGTGTGTGCGCGCGCACGGTCTACTGAGTGTAATTTAAAAAGTTATATTAAGATTCTTATATTTTGATAGGTGATTCTCCTCTATCTTCCCCTATCTCCTCTCGATTCTTACCTGAGGGGTATTACTGTACTTCAAAGTATTCTATTGGCCTACTTCAACTTTGAATAGAAATAGCAGCTCTCTATTTATAATTTTATTTTATTTTATTGATTTTAGAGAGAGAGAGGAAGGGAGAGGGAGAGACAAACATGATGAGAGAGAACAGCGGTTGGCCGATTGGCCGTTTGTCCGCCTCTTGCATGCCCCCTACTGGGGGTCCGGCCCACAACCTGGGCATGTACCCTGACTGGGAATCCCACTGTTGACCTCTTGGTGTGTGGATCCACTGCTCAACCACTGAACCACACCAGCTGGGTGCAGCTCTCTATTTACACTCACATTGAAAAAGCAGCCTGTGTTCTTCCTTCGCTCAGAATCTTTCTGGCATTTCCGTTGATTTAGGTTAATAAAAAATCCTTAGTCTAGCTGAAGACCCTTCAAGGTCTTTGTTCAGTTGAATTTCTCAGTCTCATCTCCTTTCATGGAAAACACATGTAAAAGAACACTCTACTCCCTCCATGCCAACCTGCAAAGATTGCATTACTTTGGATTTGACAGAGTTTTATAATGGTTTACCACTGTTTTGAAATTTACTTTTTCATTTAGTCAGAATTTGTTGAAGCTGAGGATATAATTGGGGAAAACACAGTCTACAGTTCTTAAAAAAAAAAAAAAAAAAAAAAGCTTAATTGAGATATAGTTCACATTCCATAGAAATACCCATTTAAAATGTACATTTATTTATTTGTTCATTCACAAAGTTGTACAGCCATTAACACTGTTAACCTAAAAATAAAAGGCCTTTCAAAGTGGGAGGCAAGAAGCATTTATTTGTGACCACAGAGTAGCTATCTGGAAGCATTTATTCAGGCAGAAGCCCAGGGGTATTTATGAGAACGGAAAGGGGAGCAATTATATCAGTGGAAGGAAGGCATTTCTATTGGTGCGGATAAGTTAACATGGTGATGCTAATTCTAAACAGTATTTAAAATTTTCAGTTCAGATGGCATCAGTCCAGTAGTCATGATATCTGTTTTCTTTCCTTTTTTTTTTTCAATGAATATTTTATTTAGAAGTGAGTCTGTACAGATGCAGAGAACATTTGGACGGTTGCCAGATGGGAATAGGAGCTGGGAGAATGGGTAAAAAAGGTGAAGGGATTCAAATGTACAAATTGGTAGTTATAGAATAGTCATAGGAATGTGAAGTCCAGCAGAGGGAATATAGTCAGTATTACTGTAATAAGTATATATGTTATCAGATGGGTACTAGATTTATTGGGGTGGTCACAAGTTATTTAAGTGTCTAATTACAGGATTGTACATCTGAAACTAATATTGTATGTCAACTGTAATTTCAAAATAAATAAGTACAAGTATGTCTAATATAATAGTCTCCTATTTAGGGGGTATAAATAAAAACTAAGGATCTCTTCTCTTCTTGTGACAGTTAAAGTAGAAATGTACTACAGTAAGCTACTTGTTTATTATAACTCAATTGCATTAAACTTTTTATATTAAGGTACTTTATGATAGACTAAGCACATTCCAGAAATAGCTTTAAGAGAGGAGGAAGAGGCCAGAGAGCTAACAAAATAATTTCTCTTGCCAAATGACATACTATGTTTAAACTCAGGAACACTACATTTCCAAATAATTTAAATACATAGTAAGATGCATTAGAAAAGGTTTCTGCGTATCCACTAAGAGAAAACGTAAATGATATGTGAAAAACAGTACACTGGAACCTTACTAATGCTGTATGAAGATAATATTCACTAATGCTATCTACAGATAATACTCTATAAAATTATACAGAAAGGAAAAAAGTTCAAACAGATTTATTACTGGGCCTAAAATATGTTATGGACCAAATCCTTTAGATATTTTTTAACATAATCCTACTTATATACTTTAATATCAACAATTGCAAGTCTCCAAGGACTCTTATTTTTATAATCACCTTTGAATAAATAAATTAAATTAAGTCTAATTTTTTAAAATCAATTTATTTCTATTACAGATGTGTCTTCTTTCCCCCCCACTGATTTCCCCTCCCCATCCCTCCCCACCCTGTCCCCACCTTTGTTGTCCATGTCTATTGTTCATACATACATGCATATAAGTTCTGTGGTTCATCTCTTCCCCCACCAACCCCTCTACAGGGGGTTGTCAGTCTGTACCCCCACTTCCACATCTCTGGGACTATCCTGTTCCTCAGACTGTTAAGTTCATTATATTCCACAAATAAGTGAGATCATGTACTATTTCTCTTTCTCTGCTAGGCTTGTTTCGCTTAGGATAACACTTTCCAGATCCCTCCATGTTATCTCAAGGGACTTATTGTTTGAGATCTTTCTTTCTTACAGCTGCGTAGTACTCCATTGTGTATATGTACCACCGCTTTTTTATCCATTTGTCTACTGATGGGCATTTGGGCTGTTTCCAGATCTTAGCTATTGTAAATAGTGCTGCTACGAACATGGAGGTACATATATTCTTTCTGATTGGTGTTTCAGGCTTCTTAGGGTATATTCCTAGAAGTGGAATCACTGGGTCAAATGGAAGTTCAATTTTTAATTTTTGAGGTAACACCATATTGTTTTCCATAGTGGCTGTGCCAATCTGCATTCCCACCAGCAGTGTACTAGAGTCCCCTTTTCTCCACACCCTCGCCAACACTTGTTGTTTGATGATTTGTTGATGGTGGCCATTCTGGCCATTGATGGTGTGAGGTGATACCTCATTGTTGTTTTAATTGCATCTCTCTGATGATTAGTGATGTTGAGCATTTCTTCATATGTCTCTTAGCCATTTGTATGTCCTGTTTGGAGAGGTGTCTATTTAGTTCCTCTGCCCATTTTTTAATTGGGTTCTTAGTTTTCCTTTTGTTTAGTATGAGCACTATATATATTGGAAATTAACCCATCATCTGATATATCATTGGCAATTATGCTCTCCCATATAGAGGGTTGCCTTTCCATTTTGATGATTGTATCTTTTGCTGTGCAGAAGCTTTTGAATTTGATGTAGTCCCATGTGTTCATTTTCTCCTTTGTTTCTGTTGCCTTAGGTGATGTATCAGTGAAAATTCTGCTGTGTATGATGTCTGAAATTTTGTTGCCTACAGTTTCTTCTAGGATTTTTATGGATTCATGAATCACATTTAAGTCTTTCATCCAATTTGAATTTATTCTTGTGTAGGGTGTAAGTTGATGGTCTAGTTTCATTTTTTTGCATGTAGCTGTCCAATTTTCCCAACACCATTTATTAAAGAAGCTGTCTTTACTCCACTGTATGCTCTTGCCACCTTTGTCAAATATTAATTGAGCATATTGCCTTGGGTCTATTTCCGGGTTCTCTTTTCTGTTCCATTGGTCTATATGTCTGTTCTTGTGCCGGTACGAGGCTGTTTTGATTACAATGGCTTTGTAGTATAACTTTGTAGAAATCTGGTAATATGATACCTCCAACTTTGTTTTTCTTGTTCAAGATTGCTGTGGCTATTCAAGGTCTTTTTTGGTTCCATATGAACTTTTGAAGTATTTGTTCTAGTTCTGTGAAGTATGTCGTTGGTATTTTGATGGGGATTGCATTGAATCTATAGATTGCTTTGGGTAGTATGGACATTTTAATGATGTTAATTCTTCCAATCCATGAACAAGGTATGTACTTCCACTTTTTTATTTCTTCCCCTATTCTTTTTTCAATGACCTGTAGTTTTCTGTGAATAGGTCCTTTATTTCTTTGGTTAAGTTTAGTCCTAGGTATGTTAATTTTTTTGCTGCGATGGTAAAAGGGATGGTTTTTTTAGTTTCTCTTTCTGTGAGTTCATCATTGGTATATAAGAATGCCGTCGATTTCTTGACTTTAATATTGTATCCTGCTACTTTGCCAAATTCATTTATTATGTCTAGTAAATATTTGATGGAGTCTTTGGGGTTTTCTACATTTAGTGTCATGTCATCTGCGAAAAGGACAGTTTCACGTCCTCCTTTCCAATTTGGATCCCTTTTATTTTTTCCTCCTGTCTGATTGCTGTGGCTAAGACTTCCAGTACTGTGTAAATAAGAGTGGTGAACGTGGGCATCCTTGCCTTGTTCCTGTTTTTAAGGGAAATGTTTTTAATTTTTTCCCATTGAGTAAGATGTTGGCTGTAGGTCATATATGGCCTTTACTATGTTGAAATATGATCCCTCTATTCCCAGATTGGTGAGCTTTTTTATTAGAAATGGATGCTGGATTTTGTTGAATGCTTTTTCAGCGTCTATTGATATGATCATATGATTTTTTTTATTCGTTTTGTTTATGTGGTGTATAACATTTATTTATTTATGAATATTGTACCAGCCTTGCATGCCTGGGATGAATCCTACTTGGTCATGGTGAGTAATTCTTATGATGTATTGCTGGATTCGATTT